TGAATGGAGGTCGGAATTCCTCACAAACAACCCAGAAGATATAAAACCAATAGCCCTAATTGGGCTGTTGCTGGAAAACAGGTCCACCGTCCCTTCCTTTCACTGGCCTACCCTTATCCTTCAAAATCCCTTGAAACTCAAAGTAATTCCATACAGAAACAAGACACCGTCCTAGTTGGTGCTGAAGTTCAGTCTGTGCCAACTAGCGGGTCATTGCAGTGCCGCTCATCGTCACTATACTACTACTGAATCATGCTCAGTTGCCTAAATCGGCAGTGTTCCTTTCTGCAAGGATCCAAATAAACGGCTAAACCTTAGCAACTAACACTAGCCCATAGGCTCAATGATGACTAGAAATTGGGAGGGAAAGGATTAGGGCTACTCTCTCGTCATCTCTGTCCAAAACACTGTAAAGAGCCTTTGTTGCCTAGACGGGGTTCCCACCACGCACCCAATGGATACAACTCTCAGTCTTCCCCCGAATACAACGCACGGTCATTATAGCCGAATTCAGTCTATCTTTCAGTCTAAATTCAGCTATAATGACCGTACTTGTATTCGGTGGAAGATTGTAGTTTGCTCTTCACCGGGTCTCTCTTACCACCAGACCAGTAGAGTTCCCACTGCCTCGTCAGGTGAGTTCAGGTGAGTTCAAGTGGGTTCCAAGTGGGTTCCAAGTGGGTTCCAAGTGGGTTCCAAGTGCGTTCTCAGTGGGACTCTACGTTCGAAACATTCGTTGTGATAGTACCCCACTTTGGTAGCCTAGGTGTATACACAAAAAACTAAAACAAACCAAAAAACTACATAAAGCAAGAATTAACGACCAAAAGCCTTACATGGTTGCATGAGAAGTGCGCCACGGCCTCTAATTATACGGCCAAGTACATGCGGTATGACATCCCGAAAGGCAAAAGAAAACAGAAAAGAAAAAGAAGCTCAACGATACAACCGGCTGTCTGTGCACGAATGTCTACGTACGCCTGCATGCGCACGTACGTGTGCATCTGCATGTGAACGTACGTGTGCATGTGCATGTGAACGTACGTGTGCATGTGCATGTCCACTTGTGAGAGAGGACATGGGTGTCGGTGTGTGTTCGTGCCTGTGCGTGCTTGCGTGTGCGCAAGTGTGCCAGCCACGTGTACAACCACACACAATCGCCACACGTGCATCTTGCATGTAAATCAAAACCAACCACGAGTCCGGCATGCAAACACCCAGTGCACTCCCCCCTCCCCCTCGTTCAACTGGATTCGAACTTCGGTCTTCAACAGTTAGAGGTGTAGCAACAGACCTAGGCCTGTTGGTGCAAATACACAAATTACCAATTGGCATAAATGAGTCGGTACACCGTACACCCAATGAACTGGTGAAATATAGACCCAAGTCCGAATCCAGGTGCAATCAGATGAACAGAAAAATACTTATTCTGAAGGGGTAACTTCAGTAGAGTCACAAAAACGAGTTATCAGTGCACTATATGGGGCAAGATACAGTTTGCAATTCCAGTTCGGGCACCCTCCCCTGGCCAGAAAGCTGGGTTGTGTACATAGTACCCGAACTGCAACAATTCGAAACTGTATCTTGGCCCATATACTGCAATTACAAATCCTTTTTTTTGGCGTAGTTTCCCCAATTCTGAATTACCTGGGGCCGGAAGCTCAATCATCAATGATGCAATCCCAGGCCGTCACCCTTGAAGAGAAAAAGAAAAAAAAAGAAAAGAAAACACATTACCTAGGCTACCGGAGTGGCCCGGGGTCACTCGCACGGCTGGGCCAAAACAAAGTTGATGAAGAATTTCGATGTGACCCGGCCAAAACAAAGTTGGTGAAGAATTTCGATGTGACCCTGAGGAAAATGTTCTTCAGTTTATTTTTCTGCATAACACTATTTTTTTTCGGATTTTCTGGATTTTTTTTCACGTTTTTGTTTTGCTGGAACCTTCCCTGGTCCTTGCACCCCGGACCCGGGCGGCCTGGCTGGTAGCCTAGCACATTACCCACCACATGGCTGATGTTCCTTTTTTTTTTTTTTTAAAGCCCCTAGGGCAAGGGGCAACACGCACAATACAGCCCCAAGTTCGAATCACGACCCAACAAGATGACCAGAATAAAATCATTCTGAATTACCTGGGGCCAGTCAGCTAAATGATCATATCTCACGGCCATTCCCACTTCAACAAAAAAGAACCTTAAAAAAATCTTAAAAAAACTTAACAACAACAACAACAACAACAACAACAACAACAACCAGGTAGCTATGCTTGCACGACTCCCTTCTATGTAACCGAGGGTAGGTACGTACTTTATTTAAAGGCGAAAGAGTTACAGAGAAGAATGTAGTGTATACAAAGAATAAAAAAAAAACAATAAAAACGTCGTGGCTGATGTTAGTCACAAAGTCAATTTGTAGATTAATATTAACATATATCGATCACGCATGTATGTAGATAAATATTAGTCTACATACATCCCCCGTCGATCGTGGATGTACGTAACGGGTAATGCACGTCCGCTTTCGTGCATGGATGCATGCATCCACCGAAAACCGTGGCTGCTGTAACCCGTCTTCACCCGAATACAACGCACGGTTATTATTTCTGCATTTGGACCATAAGCATTAATCACCGTACGTTGTATTCGGATGAAGACAGGTAGTTTCCAGTGCCCCCGTACGGCTATTATAGCTGTATTTGGGGCAACATTGAGTCTAGATACAGCATTAATAACGGTAGTACAATTGATTCGGGTGAAGATGGTGAATTTCTAATGCCGCCGTACACGTGGCTGCAGTTCGTTTACATGAGGGACTACTGTGTTCGCCCGAATACAACGCACCGTCATTATTGGTGTATCTAGACTCGATCTAGCCCAAAATATAGATCGTCTGTTGTATTCGGGTGAACACAGTAATTCCGATCAACGCTATGAGCGGTGAGCTCGAACCCATCGCTGTTCATTTTACGTGCCGTACCTAGACTCAAAGTTGTCCCCAATACAGATAAAAACTACCGAACGCAGTAGTGTGCCGATCACTGGTACTGTGAGCGGTGAGTTCGAACCAATCACTGTTCACTTTACGTGCTGTATCTAGACGCAATATTGCCTCAGATACTGCTAAACATTACCGAACGAGGTAGTGCCGATCACTGGTACTATGTGCGGTGAGTTCGAACCAATCACTGTTCATTTTACGTGCTGTATCTAGACTCAAAGTCGTCCCAATCGATCATTCGTATGAGCGGTGAGTTCGAGCCAATCACTGTTCATTTTACGTGCTGTAACTATACTCAAAGACTTCACAAATACAGCTAAAAATTACCGAACGCGGTAGTGCCGATCGTTGGTATGAGCGGTGAGTTCGGACCAATGACTGTTCATTTCACGTGCTGTATCTAGACTCAAATCTGTCCCAAATACAGATAAAACTTACCGAACGCAGTAGTCTGCCGATCACTGGTATGAGCGGTGAGTTCGAACCAATCACTGTTCATTTCACGTGCTGTATCTGGACTCCAAGTTGTCCCAAATACAGCTGCTATAATGACTGTACGTTGTATTCGAGTGAACCAATCACTGTTCATTTCACGTGCTGTATCTAGACTCCAAGTTGTCCCAAATACAGCTACTATAATGACCGTACGTTGTATTCGGGTGAACACGGTAGTGCCGAATAGAACGAGGTACATTAATGCCGACCACTGACTGGTATGATCGGTGTGTTCAAACCAATCACTGTTCATTTTGCGTCCTGTATCTAGACTTAAACTTGTCCCAAATACAGCCAAAAATTACCGAACGCAGCAGTGTGCCGATCACTGGTATAAGCGGTGAGTTACACCCAATCACCTTTCATTTCACGTTTTCCATGCTTTCAAAAATAAGAACTCCACTTGATCTGTTCTGATCAGTTTAATATCTGATCCGTGGTCCATCGGACCAAAAAAAAAAAAAAAAAAAAACTCCCCCTTCCTCCATGCTTTGCAAAAAATGTATCTAGACTCAGTTGTCCCAAATACAGCTACAGATTACCGAACGCGGTAGGGCCGATCACTTGGTGCACACACTAAAAAACAGTAACTGCCGATGTGTCCTTCCTCGGATACCTTTCTCAGCCTTTTAGCGAAGTAAGGCCAAATCCAATGCATCTGTTCTGATTAGTTTAATCATATCTGATACGTAAAAGACAAAAAAAAAAAACAATTAAAAAAAAGAAAAAAAGGCATCTGTTCTGATCAGTTTACTCATATCTGATACGTAAAAAAAAAAAACAAAAAAAAAACACGATGTCCGTCCGTGTGTAATAGACATAAAGGGAGGAGCACACGCAAGAGGTTGTGCACGTGGTTTTTTTCTTTTCTTATGCACGTGCGTGTTTTTTTCGTGTCGAAGAAATTACATTCCCGAGTATGCACGTCTTTATATCCACGCACGTGCGCAGGTACGTTACGTACGTGTGCGTTTTGTGAATGCTCCTGGCTCCGCTACTGACCACATGCACAAACGACAAAAAAATTATGGTGAGTAGTATCTTCTTCCCTGTCTATCTTCCCATGTTCAAGCCGAATCAAGCAGAAGGTACATTCTCATTCTTGCACATCTTCGTGAGTAGCAGAGCGAGGCCCAGTGATGTCTTTTTGCTGTATACAACTCCACAAAAGACCCATGAGCGGCAGATTGTTTCGTCGGCCATCCACCGATTCATTCAAAGGTCGTGTGTGTTGTGTGTCTGTGTGTGTGTGTGTGTGTGTGTGTGTGTGTGTGTGTGTGTGTTTGTGTGAGAGAGAGGGGGGGGGAGGGAGATGTTCGTGGAAATAAAGAAGGGGGCAGGTCGAGGGGTGGAGCTTGGAGAAGAGGAGAGAGAGAAAGACCGAAGCACTCAGACAGAGATAATGGATGAGAGAGAGAAAGAGAGAGAGAGAGAGAGAGAGAGAGAGGAGAAGGGGGAGGGGGGGGGGGGGGGGGGGGAAGGGTAAAGGGGGGAAATAGGAGGGTTACCTGTCAACGAGTACACCAGTTACTGCGTAGCCCACCGTCGATCCTGATGAAGGGCTGAGATCGATTGCAGCGGTCCCATTAAATCCAAATTTACACTGAACCGGAGGAGGGGGGGCAGAAGGAGGGGCCGACGTAGACGCCCCAGCAGCCGACGGTTGGGGGGGGAGAGGAGGAGGAGGAGAGGTAGCGTTGGATTGAGAAGGAGAAGTAAGTGGAGAAGGAGAAGGAGGAGAAGGAGGAGAAGGAGGAGAAGGAGGAGGAGGAGGAGAAGGAGAAGACGACGAGCTGCCGACATGGTCGCCTTCTGGTGTTCTTGCTCTATGAAGAGGAGGAGGAGGTGGATTACTACTCTCTTCCGGTGCAAATGACACTACCTCTTCGCTAGGAGCGGCTTCCTCTTCATCGTCGTCAGTGAACCCACTTCCCTCTCCTCCTCTCTGTCCCACAGGAGATGAGTCCGACGGCGATGGTGAAGAGGAGGCGGACGATTTCTTCCCATCGTCCTCGGCAACGCCATCTCCATCGCCTTTGCTTGAGGAAGGTGTCTTCGGAGGAGAGGAGGAAGAAGGAGGCGATGGTGAAGATGAGCTCGCCTCGACATTGTCATTCTCTTGCTTCTCTGTAGTTGTGGAGGAGGAAGACGAAAGAGAAGAAGACGAATCTTCGGCCTCGTCGACAACGCTCTCCTTCGATGCAGAGGCAGGAGGAGAAGGAGGAGAAGGAGAGGAAGAAGAAGAAGAAGATGCTTTGGCCGTCTTCTTGTCAGTCTCTTTCGATTCCGATGGAGGAGAAGAAGAAGAAGAAGAAGAGTCTTCGTTGTCGTCGTCGTTTTGACTTGAAGCATAAACAGG